CCCCAAAACCCCAAAACCCCAAAACCCCAAAACCCCATATTGCTTAGATTTATTAGAATTTAAGGGTGATTAAAATATAAATTCAAAAATCTAGAAAATTTAATGGAAGAAATCAAGGAGGCATATTTTAAAGTACCACCTATCTCAAGATACTACATGACACTAGTCTTTATCTTGTCTTTTGCGACTACTTATTAATTAATTCCTTTTTCAATTCTATACTTAGATCTTGAGAAAACATTCTTCAAATTTTAGGTAACAATTTTCTTAAGAATATAAAGTATTGACACTTGTCAATTTAGCTTTGGAGAATAATTACAGCATACTCATTTGCAGGAAATTTCAGTGTAGGGTTCCTATTCACTATGATGCTCTTGTAATCATTTTATGCAATTTATAGAGATATAGGTATTACACATTCAAGGAATGTGAGGTATTTTATGCAAATAGGTATCCAGAATTCACATGGATGCTATTATTCAATGCATTAGCAACATTCGTAATTAAATTTGGTTATTTAAACTTTTCAATAGGTTTATTCTTGGATCTATGGATATCACTATCTTTTAACGGATGCTTTCAAGTTCTCAGTATTGTATGTGCAATGCAAAAATGAACCTGATAGACCTATGTCAATTTGGGGATTCCCTGTTGTTTCAGGAAATTTGCCATGGGTTCTTGTTTTACTTTCAATCTTAACTGGAGGAGATCCTTTCGAAAGTTTAATTGGAATAGCAGCTGGTCACACATACATCTTTTTAAAGATAACTCTACCTAATTCACACGGTTATAACTTACTCAAGACTCCTGTTAGATTTGAAAAACTTGTAAACGAAATTATAAGAAGGTCAAATGTATAAAATCCAGGACCAAGAGTCCAAGGTCTTGGTGGTGCTAGAGTAGAAATGGGAGGAGCAGTAGGCCAAGGAGGAATAGCAAGAGCTTTTGCTGGAAGAGGTGTAAGATTAGGAGGGTAATGAAAGAATAGTCTGTCTAATCGAAGTTAATTGTAATTAGTTATTTTCTTTTAAGAATCTAGAATTTTCATTTCGACATTCTTATTTATAAGTTAATTATGGGGTTTTGGGGTTTTGGGGTTTTGGGGTTTTGGGG